ATTTAACCACTATATCACCAGGGCTCCCTTTGACCTGCAATGCAGTGTCTCTCTTTTCCTACTGTCTTCTACCTTACCAAGTTTTATTGTCTTGTCTTCTCTTGATATGTCCTAGTACAATAGTCTCAGTTCAGTCTTCTTGGCTTCTAGGGAGAGTTCAGGCTGGATTTGCTCTCAGATCAATTCAAGTCTTTTTAGTAATCCATGGTATCAGTAGAACTTTCTTCCAGCAACACATTTCAGATGATTTTGTTTTCTTTCTGTCACCTCTATTCATTGTCCAGCTTTCACAACCATACATAGAAAATGGAAATATTAAAACACAGATGATTCAGGCTTTGGTATTTAACAATGGCCAAGATCCTATATTCTGGATCGGCAACTGAGGAGTTTATCGCACTCACTTTTGTTAACGATTCAGGAATGGGCTGTGGATGAGCGTGAACACATGTGACCAAGGGAAATGGATTTTATCACACTCAAAACAGTTGACAAGCTGTCCTCATGCCATCACTTGACCACAACCCATCCCCGAATTGTGCTGAGCCAGCCAATTTTGCTCAGCCAGAAAGCTTCCATCCTTACAAAATCATCCAGTTCAGTGTGGCTTGGGGATGGGTTGTGGTCAAGCGATGTCATGGGGACAGCTTAATGACTGTTTTGAGTGTGATAAAATCCATTTTCCCTCAGTCACGTACATCCCCAGCCCATGCCCAGATCATTAACAAATGTGAGTGTGATAAATTAAGTATAGTTAGTTAAGTATGCTAAACTAACTATTGTCTCCTGACCCGACCTCTCCAATTCTGCTTTACTGGGTAGCAGCCACTTTGAGCAACAGAGGCCTGTTCTCCTGTCAAACAGGGTGCAACATATTGATGTTTTGACTCTCCTCTCTCAAGTGATCTCTGGTCCAACAATCAGAAGCAGAATTCCCCACAGTTGCAATTTTTCTGGCACCAAAGATCACAGGAGAGAGGGGGTGGAAATGTCAGTATGCTGCTCCCCATTGATAGAAGAACAGACCTCCATCATTTGCAGTGGCTGCTGCCTGCTATAGCAAAAACTGAGGGAAGGTTTAGTGCCACAATCCAGAGTACCTAGGGACTATGAATACAAATCAGTTTTGTTGTTTCTTGCTTTTAACTGCTGTCAAGTTGGCTTTGACTTATGGTGACCCTATGAATGAGAATCCTTCATGTCACTGTGTCATCAACAGTCCTGCTTGGATGTTACAAACACAGGGCTATGGATCCCTTGATTGAGTCTGCCCACCGGTAATGTGGTTTCCTCTCTTCCTACTGCCTTATTCCTTGCCAAGCATCTAGTGAGTCATGTCTTCTCATGATATGTTCAAAGTACGACAGTCTCAGTTTATCTACATGATAATCTTCCCATATAATCTGCCACATTCCCATATAATCTGCCACATTCCCATATAATCTGCCAATATAATCTCCCATATAATCTGCCACATATAATCTGCCACATAATCTGGTGGACATCTAGTCTAGTCAGCAAGGACTAGGTTGCCAGCTGTTAGCCAGAGGAATTTTTCTTTAGCCACACCTTGACAGTGGAATTATCTGCTGGAAGAGATTAGACACCTGAATATGCTGCCCACATTTAAAATAGCATTGAAGACCAGTCTCTTCCAGCAGGCTTTTCCAGATAATTTTAAATTGTGAATTTAGATGATGAATTTTAAATGTGAATTGTTTTAAAATGTTTATTTCTTATTTGTCCTTTTAAAGCAAGGGTAGGCAACCTAAGGCCCGGGGGCCGGATGCGGCCCTCCAAGGCCT